ATAACAATTAAGAATTAGGGTTTGGTTTGTTTTATATTAAGCACAAAATTATAAAATGGGCTATCTGTACTTTGCTACGCACGGGTACCGAAACCAGATTTTTAGCATTATAAGTTTTCAGAGTTATAGTTGAGCCAATTGGGAGGGCTACGATTTCTTAAAACAGTAATGATACATATGAACAGGAAGGTGTAACATACTGTTTGACTACATCCTTTAATCCATAAAAATTAACAATAATAGCACGAATCCTTTATCCTCTAAATGTCTAATGCGAACATGCATGATAAGAGTATAGGTATCCTATTAGGGTAAGTATTTTTCATGAAACATGCATGATAAGAGTATAGGTATCCTATTAGGGTAAGTATTTTTCATGAAACATGCATGATAAGAGTATAGGTATCCTATTAGGGTAAGTATTTTTCATGAAACATGCATGAAAAAGTATCAGTATTCTCTAGCACAGTGGTTCCCAACCTTATGTGGCCCTCGCACCCCTCCCCTAAAAAGTGTGCATTAGGTATTTCCTCTTGGCGACATTTGGGAGAAAACAAACTTCGTATAGCCCTCTTTCCGCTCCCCCCTGGACCCTCATTTCGCATCCCCGCTCTAGCAGAAGCAGTCATGAGAAACCACTGATCTTAGAAACAAGAGCAATGAAAACAAAGGTAAAACCTTTTGAAATTCTGTGACAGTAAGTCAACTACCCCTCCCCCATCCTCACCAAAAAAGGAAAAGCCAAAAGATATAGGAATTCTATAAAGGTACTGCCACAAAAGGCACGAAAAATACTGACATATTCTATTAAGGCAATTCTTCTTTGCACAGTCACGTTTACAAAAAGAAGAAAAAAAGGTTTCTATTAGGAAAAGTATTACTACAACACAAGCTATTAAAACGTGTGTATCTCTTAAAAACAAGTAGACTTCTCAAAACCAGCCATACAATACGTCAGTGTTCAATTAGGGTAATTTAGTATTCTTACACGTATTGAATTTAATGTTAATTTCTCAGAAGCAGGCGGGTAAAATATTGGTTATTCTATTAAGGTACGTAGCCTTCCTGGAAATAAACACAATAACGTAGTGTTAGTATTTTTTTTGTTTTTTTTAACCAGTGATGATAAACATTTGTGAGGGTAAGTCGTTTTCTGGTTAGTTGTACGGAATTATTTTTTGGGTTTCTTGACTCACAGGTGGTGTCTCGTGGATTTATTTAAAATGATGAGTGACATTGAAACACAAAATATGACTAGATAAAACATGTAGCAAACAAAGTCTTCGGACACACACAAAAAAGGGTAAACTCACGTGACGTTACTGGCTATCCATCTGAAGAACGCTCTTACTTTCTGTAAGTCATTTTTGGCACCTTGTGTCAGATAGTTGACAAGATTTCGAATTGAAGACTTCGCCGACTCCGGGGCCTAAAGAAAAAAACATAAAGGTTTATCCTAGATTACTTCTTTGTTTTTTCATAATCATGTTAACTTGTAAAATAAATTACAGTGAAGTGTATGATAAAACGCTCACAACCCAGTTGCCAATATTTTACTAAATATGTATTGCCATTCTTTTGTTATATTTCATTTTATGGCAAGCAATGTATTTTTATATCCGGTATGGCCTATTCATTAAACCATAAAATTTACAGCTGACTTACCAGTATAAGATAGGGTAGCCTAATAAAGACCAAACAAACAAATAGGTCCAGCTTATCTCTCTTTGGTTAACTGATGAGGAGTGGAATTTTCTAGTATAACCCAATAAGACACGTTGATCAAAGTGTAGATTGAACTGGACCTCCATTGAACTTAAACTTCGAGAGTAAACACATTTTCGGAATACTAAGTTTATTTATTATATCTGCTATTGTACTGCTATATAATATGAAGAACTGAATAGTGGCCAATGACACTTTTTATTCACTTCATCTATCCATTGTATAGGTTTTTCTTATAGTGACTACAAAGTACGTTCATACCAACAGCATGTTTGATACCAAACATACAGGACGGACTACTGACGCTATTACATGCTAACATTTTCCTGCTCTAGTATTTACAATCAATTTAATTCCCATGATAGTTGTCCAAAGGTTCTGGGTTGGAAAGCATAATATATAGTAATTTTTACATAATGATCTATACCCTTTGTAAAAACTTACGGTATGACACCAAAAAAAAATTAAATGTATTTTGCAATAAATAAATTAAGAACAACACAGACACCTCTTCACACATAGACAACACATACTAATGTTATAAGTATCACTTTAGTTTTACCAAAGACTTGTTGTAGTACACAGTAGATAAACAAGCTATCAGTAACTGTAAGAATAATATTCCGCCTTTCTTCAGAACTTAAGTTACAAAACAAAACACTAGGATCAAATTACAAATTTAAATAATACGTATTTTAACAAAACATAGCAAGTTTACGTACAGAATTTGTAACAGAATCAACCCCTAATGCTGAATAACGCTCCAGTTCTATAATTTCGGACTTAGCGCTATAATTAACAAAGCTAACCATTCACAGTTAATGTACATTGAACCATTCTGTGTATTTGAAACTCTTTTCCTTCGTATATCTTGACTTTACTCTTAGCTTTGCTCATCTCTCTTTCAAGTAGCACTACTTTCTTCTGTATGTCTCTGTAGGATTTGTTTAATAAGAATTGTTCACTGCTTTTCATGCTCTTTCCTCTGTTAGTTTTGACTTTAGCTGATACCTTTCAACTACAACTCCTACGTCAAGATGACTGTCTTACTTAGTAACTGATGTACTCTACTGTTTTGCTCTTTGTCTACTTTCAGCGTTGTGCTCCAATTAGTCTTACTTAGTAACTGATGTACTCTACTGTTTTGCTCTTTGTCTACTTTCAGCGTTGTGCTCCAATTAGTCTTACTTAGTAACTGATGTACTCTACTGTTTTGCTCTTTGTCTACTTTCAGCGTTGTGCTCCAATTAGTCTTAATTAGTAACTGATGTACTCTATTGTTTGCTCTTTGTCTACTTTCAGCGTTGTGCTCCATTTAGTCTTACTTAGTAACTGATGTACTCTATTGTTTTGCTCTTTGTCTACTTTCAGCGTTGTGCTCCAATTAGTCTTACTTAGTAACTGATGTACTCTGTTGTTTCCTCTTTGTCTACTTTCAGCGTTGTGCTCCATTTAGTCTTACTTAGTAACTGATGTACTCTACTGTTTTGCTCTTTGTCTACTTTCAGCGTTGTGCTCCATTTAGTCTTACTTAGTAACTGATGTACTCTACTGTTTTGCTCTTTGTCTACTTTCAGCGTTGTGCTCCATTTAGTCTTACTTAGTAACTGATGGACTCTACTGTTTTGCTCTTTGTCTACTTTCAGCGTTGTGCTCCATTTAGTCTTACTTAGTAACTGATGGACTCTACTGTTTTGCTCTTTGTCTACTTTCAGCGTTGTGCTCCAATTAGTTGCAATCTTATATTGGAACGATTCTTCTTGATCCTCTCGTGACTACTATTCTTTTTAAACAACACATGAAAACTAACACAAACGCTTTGACAACACAATGTTCATATATCAAAATAACATTCAACAGCTTGTGTCCCGAAATCAGAATACACAACAGGGGCTTATAAACGTTGCAAAGGCGTAACAGTAACTGTTACGTCATGATATTAACTGTCACTAAGATTTGATATTATATCAACTTTCCCGATGTTCGAACAAAGCTGTCAGATAAACACTTTTATTGTGGTAAACATTAGATGAATAAGCCATCACTAACACTACTGTTGATACGTGTACCGACGTTCAAATTTTGTGTGTTTACTACAAATAGGATAAATACGTTAGCAATGTCTCCAATTCAGTGGTTCTAAAACTGTGGACGTGGGGTCGCTAAAAGAAGATTACGGAAACGCCCAATTTTGTTCTAGATTGAAAAAGTTTTGAAACCTCTTTGCGAATGTATTGGTTGCTATAATGCTTTGATTGTTATGTTTTTTTTGCATACTGTCTAGGATCGCGTAATTGATCTCAAAGTGGGATCTCGTTAGTATCTAATGATAATAATAAAATTACTAATTAGAATAAACTGATCGTAAAAAATATTCACCATCACAAACGAGTGCCTATAATGTTTATTTTTAATGAGGTTCGTAGATGTTTTGTGATGCACGAAATATGAATAAGTTATTAGTGCTCGTACTGTTTAAAAGTTCACTGCAGGAGGCTCAAAGATTCCTTGCGATACAAGGCAGATAATTAAGTTATGAGTACCATTATTGTTTAATAGCTTACTGGAGGAGGCTTAAAGATTCCTTGCGATATAAGGCAGATAATTAAGTTATGAGTACCATTACTGTTTAATAGTTTACTGGAGGAAGCTTAAAGATTCCTTGTGGTACAAGGTAAGTAATTAAATTATGAGTAACATTATTGTTTAAAAGTTTACTGTAGGAGACTCAAAGATTCCTTGTGGTACAAGGTAGGTAATTAAGTTATGAGTACCAATAGTGTTTAATAGTTTACTGCAGAAGGCGTAAAGATTCCTTGTGGTACAAGGTAAGTAATTAAGTTATGAGTAACAATAGTGTTTAAAAGTTTACTGCAGAAGGCGTAAAGATTCCTTGTGGTACAAGGTAAGGTAATTAAGTTATGAGTACCAATAGTGTTTAATAGTTTACTGCAGAAGGCGTAAAGATTCCTTGTGGTACAAGGTAAGTAATTAAATTATGAGTACCAATAATCCATCTCGGGTTTTAACAGTTATACGTAAAACAATTTCCAGGTATTTCAAAGGCTATGGACTCAGTTTTCATATTAATATTTATATAAGGAAAAGCTTTTCTTGTTGTACTTGTTTATAACGATCTAGATTTGAATAAAACATTTTAAGGTATGTAGTACGTATTGGCAAATACTTAAATCACTTCTTCTTAACAGTCACGAATGCCTTTTTTTTTACATAGAGTGTCACAGCATAAAAATTATATTCTAAGCAAAAAAATATCTTTCCACGTTCACTTACACGTGTAGTTCACATCAGTCACAAGGAAGTGTGCGTGCAGATTATACCCATAAACGAACAAGCCGACTCGCAAAGAGAAGCTCGACAAGAATTGATTCATAGGTTCGGTAAAAGTCCTGTTCCGAATGTAGATTACAGTTACGTTTTCAACTTTAATGATAACACATTGTCATTAAATCATCAGCTATAATATATATAAGTTCACTTATCCTCTCTATATACTGGCTGCACCACGGGTGGTTGAACACCCGGGACCGAGATTATTCTAAGAAATTGATATTTGAATATCATCTGTGATTTTGTAGTACACTTTGCGATTTACATACAGCTACTCTCAAATAAAAAGGTGGGTTGTTAATAAGAACGCTAAGACTTGTCCGATCACAATAAATATTACGTCAATTTGTCGTCGATAAATCACTGTTAATTAAGAGGCTTCTATGAAAGAATATGAAAGCTTTAATCTCTTGACTTATTTGAAACAGATGTGTTACGTGTAATTAATCTAGTATGGTAGATTATCACATAGAGATGGGTTAAGGGATAGGGGTTCATGTGGGCTTCCGAATTCTTCAAAGATAAATCTATAAATATTATTCATGTTTTGGAGCAGCTTACTTTAAAATTCCCAATTACTTGATTGTTTTTTCTACCTTTGGAAACTTTTGATATACTCGTCGTATTTTTAGGAGACTTTACATCCTTGTATTGAACCCTTTATTGATATATCATTAGCAATCATTTGTGAAGCATCATGGGAAAGAATTCAATACTTAAGGGGTACCAGAAATGCTGGCTGTTGATATTCGTCTGACCCTGATATTCAGATTAATACTTAGAACTTAAAAGTAAGGTTTCGTGTTTACAACGCGCATAAGTTCCAGAATATGGTAGTATACATGAATTTTATAGGTTTGGTAGGCTTTTAATTAGAACAATAAAGATAAAGTCACAGCTAACCAGAGAACTGACTAAAACCGGACACTGGAAGTCCTTGTTCATACGTTACACATGCAAATTAATCCATAATTAGAAGCAATGCAATTGATAATAAAGATGATTATCGACATTTGTTCGTTCTATTACTAAACTTGCCATAAAAAAAAACTCATATTGCTTATTTGTTTGTTTTGAATTTTGCGCAAACACACATAAGAACTATCTCCGCATGGTTCTTAATTATGAACTGACAGATTGGAAGGAAGGCAGCTTGTCAACTCTTGGGCTACTTTTGTCTAATCGAACAGTTATGTGTGACTGTCGCTCTTATAACACATCCACAGCAACAAAATGTGTAGTGTGTTTTGAGGGCAACGAGACGCAAACCATGAACACTCGTATTTACAGTGCGAGCACGCTAATCACTGGCCCACGCCTATCCCGCTTTCAAGTCAATCTCTTTTAAGCTAC